CGCAAGGACTCATCATAAGCTCCGCTTGCATATGAGTATAATGGAAGAATAATAATAATAATAATAATAATAATAAATGACGTATATGGACTTTCATAGAGTAGTCTATCTCATATTAAAATTTCATTGAAATTGAATATACGTAGTTAAAATATTAATCGCTGGCTACGGTAGTTACCGGAACAACGTACTTCCGCAATGCTCAGATTTTGATCACATGACATGGAATTTGAGAGGCTGAAAATAGCTCTTGCGAACGACAAACAACCGCCGTGTGCTGGAGGACTGGCAGCGCGCGCTCAGGGAGAGGGCCGTTATCGCGTCAAGCTGCAATCTGAGTGTCTACCTCAAAGACTAAGTAAAATGGTCTATTTCTTTACATCCAACGTCGTTTCGCCGCCCGCATTCATCTATGTCGGCAAGGACAAGACGGAGAGTAGGGACACCATTTCTCCGATGGCCATATATGGATTGGTATACGACAGTGCTGATATGGAGCAGATGAGGATCTCATAAAACATGGTCTGGAGTGCGATGTCTGGTAGCTATTATTTTTTGCCAACGTTAACTGTCCTCACTCGGCTTCGGAACACCGCTGATTGAGTTTATCTTTCTGTAGGGTGCGTAAAACTATCGTGTCTCCTGGAACAGAGAAACCCGAGCTCAAGAGCGCATCGTCTTATAATTATGTTCCTGAGATAGTTCCATGCCGACAATCTATCCAGTGCCCACGTTTATCTCCGGCTAAGAGACGGCGAGACATGGGACAATATCCCTGAACATCTGCTTACGGACTGCGCGCAGCTCACAAAAGCAAACTCCATTGAAGGTTCGCTTCCGTTCGCTTTCTTGGCGTTGTTATATACCTGTAACTAAAGGATATCCGAGCATAGGAAATAAAAAGGACAATGTGACTATAATATACACGCCGTGGTCAAACCTACACAAAACTGCTGGCATGGCGATTGGTCAAGTAGGTTTCCACAACCCAAAACTCACGCGTAAGGTTCACGTCGCCGTCCGACAAAACCCCATTATCAATCGCCTTAACAAGACGCGCGTTGAGAAGTTCCCTGACCTACGCCAGGAGAAGGAGGAGTACTTGAGCAAAATTAGACGGGAAGAGCGGAAGCTGCGAGAGGAGAAGCGGGCTGCAGAGAAGCTGGAGAGGAAGCGGAGGGAGGAGCTGAAGTGGCAGAAAGAACATGCGTATGATGATTTTTTGAATGAGGAGAATATTCAACACAGCAGCAATCAAGATCGAGACCCGGACTTTTTGGATGATTTCATGTGACGGGGAAGGGGCCATTTTTTCCTTGATGAGCTAAGACTCTTTCTTCTCCCGGTACTCTCCATACGTCAAGTCTTCTCACAGCAGCTCTCTAGTTCACTAGCTTTGGGTTTATCCTTGGCTGATGCAGGCGTCCCTCGCGAAGGTCAGATAAGATAAACGATTTGGGAACAGTACATCGTTATACGGAATTGTTTTTCAGCCTTGGCCGGGAGGTGTACGTGGCTTACCGAGGCCAATGAGACAAGATCATTTCGGATTTTTATTTAGAAGATGGTGATAAGACTCCGGTAATCCTGGAATTCTGTGGCGAATAAAGCTTCATATTCCCAATAGAAGGGAACATATCAGAAGGATGATTCTTATAAAGCTAGGCCATCTTTTTATTTTTATTTTTTATCGAGGACAATAACAAAACTCGATGTATAAATCCCCGCATGTTGGATTCCAAAACTTGATGCCCATCTTTGCCGCCCCAGGGAGCTGGATCCCATATATATAGCACTTGGCCTGGGGTTTAGTAGATCTTTTACATGCATGAATGTCTCAGAATTGATCCGGAATAAGAAGATTCCCACATTTTCTTTGTGGATGATAGCCTAGCCAAAAGCAAATCCACAGCGCGGAAAGTAGAAGATAAACTCAAACCTGACCTGTGAAATGTCCGAACCCTATCCTAATATATAAAAACTAATAAGAGTACTACTGTTGTTGTTGAATACCTGAAGAGCTGCAGCAAGGTTGCCCAACATGCTGGAACCCTTTTGCCCGTCGTTCTATGGGTTTATAACTAACTGGCACCGTCGCGAGATTACGTATTGAATCCAATCCAACCACCAACCCACGCTAACGAACACCTCTCCCGTTCCATAGAACCATATACAACCCCGACTCCCGTTCAAATTCAGCAGCAAAACGCGCAACCCGACGTATATATCGATTACACTAGGAGGGTTGAGAGTGTGCGAGAGAGGGTTTATTCGATTGGTGTTCCCCGCAGCACCTCTCACGAGGTAATACTGTCCCTCTTAAACGATGCCATCAGACACAACCTCCACGCCGGCGCCAGGTAAATTAATAACTTGATCTTCTTTTTATTATATTGGCCGTAACAAGCCAACGGATACATTTATTCAGAGAGGAATCTAACGGTATCATGCGAATTGCGCAGGAACGAGTGGGAAATCAAAGAAAAACAGCAGGAAGAAAGCAAATGCGAAAGCAAAGGCGAATTGCGGAACCGTCCCAAACACGTCTTCTTCAGACCAACAACGGCCACCCACACAATCCAACAGACAACAGGAGAAGTCGGGACAGGATCAGCATCCAACACCGGTATGTCTGCTACCTTGTCCACGCGGGAAGGAGGGGGGAATGGTCTGCTAAGGAGACACAGCATCTAACTTTGAAATTTTATCTAGGCTACTAAAGAAAACTTCGTGAACGGTTCCCAGGCTGTGGATTTGGATGATAACGATGGAGGAAAGGATAGGGAAGAGGAGCCGGCGGTGGAGAGCGACAACGATGCGTCACCTCCCAACCCCGCATTCCCTTCCCTTGATTCCGACCCCAGATTCGAAGCGCTGGTGCGGGATCGCGATTCCCTCCGTGCGGAAGTAGCTGAGATGCGTATATCACTCGAAAAGATACAGTCTAAGCACGATGAGGAGATGGTGGCTTTACAGGGCCAACTGAAACAGTCACAGAGCGACAAAGAGCATGCGGAGACACAGTTTCGGAATTTGTTGGGCAAGGTTAATACGATTAAGTCGCAGTTAGGGGAGAGGTTGAAGGCTGATGCTGTACGTCTCTCTGCTTCTTTAGGGCGTGCTCCTTTTACAATTGCGGCTTTTTGAGATGGTTGCTTTTTTGACCAATTTGTTAACACATGAGTCTACAGGAGGAATTAGAGCAGACGAGGAATAGGATAGAGGAGCTCGAGGGCGAAAATGCCACGCTGCAAACGGAAGTAGGGTCGAAATCGGCTACTATCAAATCATTGGAGAAGGAACGAGAACAACAATCCAAGGAGCTTTCCAGCTTGCGAAATAGGACGAATTTATCGCAGCAAAATTGGGTGAAGGAGAGGGAAGAATTGCTGGAACAAGAAGCATATGCGCGCTCGGAATTCGAGGAGGCAAAGCAGGCCATGCACAACTGGGAGATTCTCGCAATGGAGGAGCGATCTATTCGAGAAAGCCTGGAAGAGAAAGTGGTAGACCTGGAGGAGCAGCTTGTCACCTTGAAAAGCGAGTATGAGAAGGCTTCTTCTGAACGTGATGCACAATCGGTGACCGTGGACGGGCTTCAGAGGGCGCTTCAGGAAATTCAAACCGGTGAGGACCTTTTCACAAAACTTCTGTAGTGTCTATCGCCAAGTGCTAATATCATTTTGCTTTTTCCCTCCATAGCACGAAAACAGGAGCTACGAGAGATCGTGGAAAGCTCGGATGCGCAGCTGGAGGAGCACCGTAAGAAGGTGCAGGAGGCTGAGAAGAACGCCACGGAAGCCATTGCCAAGTTGGAAGCGGCGGAGGCGGAGTTGAAACGGGCTCTACCGTTTGAGAAAGAAGTCAAGGAGAAGAATCTGCTGATTGGCAAGTTGCGTCACGAAGCGGTTACGCTGAATGAACACCTCACCAAAGCTCTAAGATTCCTGAAGAGGGGGAAGCCGGAGGATAATGTGGATAGGTTGGTGCTTTCTCAATTTTCGTTATGTTGGACTGCCCAATAGCTAACTAGAATAATCAGACACCTCGTCACCAACCACTTCCTCCATTTCCTGGCGCTAGATCGATCAGATCCGAAGAAGTTTCAGGTCCTACAGCTCATATCAGCGTTGCTGGGATGGACGGATGGTATGTCACGCCCCCTGGCTGTATCTTTTTTTCAAGGCATATTCTTTAGGTTAGAAGGGCAAACCACTAACTAACACCTTTCTTCGGAATGATCCAGAACAACGAGAGCAAGCTGGTCTTGCCCGCCCAGGAACCTCAAGTGGATTCAGCAGTAGTTTACGCGTTCCCAGCACGTCCTCACTCCTATCGAGGACACCAAGTTCGCCGGCCCTTGCTTCTGACTTTTTCACGGAGAATGGAAGTACACGCAAAGAATCACTGGCAGAACTCTGGTCGAATTTCCTGGAGCAGGAGACGGCACAGAAGAAGGAGTCGAAGTCACGAAGTCAATCGGATGCACCGCCAACCTCTCCTACTCCATGATATATCCATATATATATATATATATATATATGTACTACATTTCTATTTTTCATATTATATTTTCCTTCCATTTTTTTATGTCGATGCGCTCTTATTTTTCTTTCCTTTTTCTTTCCTTTTTCTTTCTCCCTTTTTTATGCAAGCATGAAAGCACCTTGGTGACTGTTAACTAGATCCATGTTCCTTGTTACCATAATAACTCCCCAACGAGCCAGAGCCCTTTTTTCTTTTATGTCTCTGAGTTTCTTCTCTTCCTCACAACGTTGTTAATCCCATTTATGTTCAAGGTGAACATTCTACAACCAACCGAGATATGGGCGGTTCTCATCTTATTTTTAAAACAAGCACTTGTGGAACACCTCATAAATTACTAGTGTAGATAAATACCTGTATATAAATCAGTATGACTCAAGCATCTAACTCGTAGTACGGAGTATGACCATTTACAATAATATGATATGCCACATAATTTAAGAGCTCGGCGTACCTGGTGCCAAGGATCGGGCATAAAACCCTAAATTTGGCAGCAGAAAAGCCGGGGCGCAATATAAAATGTTTTCCCCGACACCATCACCACCACCACGAGACACTCGTCGCCTCATCGTTCCTTCATATATTTCCAATGGCTGCCTCTGCTGGTAGGTACTCCCCCGCCTCGAAAGCTCTGCTAGACCCGCCCTCCTAACAGACTGGGATACCAAAAAAAAAAAGCAGCTGTGCGCAGATTCCGCCCTGTAGTGATATCCGGGCCCTCAGGCACCGGAAAATCAACGTTGATAAAAAGACTCTTCGCCGATTACCCGGATACCTTTGCGCTTTCGGTTTCTCGTCAGTAACAGCCTCCCCTACCACCTTCTCTCCTGCCCTTCCTTGTCTCCCTCTACATTAAAAAATTACCGCTCCTCTAACTCGCACACAACCCAAATAGATACAACCAGAGCACCCCGCCCCGGCGAACAAGACGGGCGCGAATACTACTTCACAACGCGCGATGCCTTCCAATCCCTCATCGACGAAGGAGGGTTCATCGAGTGGGCGCAATTCAGCGGCAATTACTATGGCACCAGCACCAAGGCGGTGAGGGACGTGGCGGAGAAGAAGCGCATTTGCATTCTGGATATTGAGATGGAGGTACGGATATACATACCCTTTCCCCCGACAAACCAAAATAATCTCCCCCAACTAAACCCCCCAACCTAAACAGGGCGTCAAACAAGTAAAACGCACCTCCCTAAACGCCCGCTTCCTCTTCCTCGCCCCGCCCTCCCTCGAAACGCTCGAGCAGCGCCTACGAAACCGCGGCACGGAGACGGAGGAGAGCCTGAGCAGCCGTCTGGCGCAGGCGAAGAACGAACTCGAGTATGCCAAGCAGCCCGGGGCGCATGACGTGGTGATTGTCAATGATGAGTTGGAGACGGCGTATAAGGCGTTGCGGGACTGGGTGGTTGATGGGGGGAAGTTTGGGGCGTTGGAGTGAACGAATGGGACATATATATATATTGAATGGATAAGAGTGTATGGGAAGGCGTTAGTGTTGTTTTGGCTTTTTGTGAGAGGTGAATGGTGATGGAGTGAGAGTGAGAGTGGAAAGGGGGACTTCTGCTGGTTATTATTATATATACCATGTTTTTGTTTCAGCACTTTCATTTGGTATCCCAGCTGTTACAGCATTTGACACCTCTACATAATGTGTGCAGGGTTGTATTTATTTATGCTTTCTGCCATGTACCTATGTACTTTATATTTCATTTTGTTTCTTTTGTGTCTCTTTTTCTTCTTGGAATACTTCTTATAGAGTTAGACAGTGTTGTATTTATCTTCTTATTTTCTTTCTCAAATAATCAGATATAGACAGATAGAGAAAAACATAATATAATAAATATAAGTCAATATAAATCTATGTAAGAATAAGTGCTCACAGGTAATTTTTCAGAGATTTGCAGCTTGATGTAATATATACTGATAATTATTAAAAGTATTCATAGTAGAAAAATATATATAAAGACTAAATATATAATAATATTCAAGCTGAGTTATAAATAATAATTATAAACTTCTGTTTATATAAATTATATATAGTTAAAAACTACTCACTTTATTAATTATATAAAAGAGTAAAATAAAGATAAAAAATTTATAAAAAGTAAGATTTTTTACATACTTTTCTTTAAGAGACTTACACTGAATAAATCAGTATAATACATAAATCTTATAATATAAAAGTGAAAAATATTAAAGAAGAAAAAGAAAGAGAAAGTATAAGAATCAGTAATTAAAGTAAACATTTATATATATATATAGTAATATACACAGTAAAGCTTCAGAGTGAAAGAATAGAAATTCTGTGAGTTTTTTAACTCAGAATTAATAACTGAGAATCAGAGCTTTCAGTGAGAATCTATAAAGTGTAATAAAATAATTTATATAATTAATTAAATATAATCTGTTATATTAACTTTCTCTTTCTAAAAGTAAGTGTAGTTCTCATCAGTCAAGAGCTGCTGTATTAAATAGTACAAAGTCTGAGATTTAAGATGAAAGATTATAATTAACTTATTTTATAAGATATTATCAGCTACAGCTGCAGAGTCTCTTATTAAGAATATCTTTAATCTCTTATTTAAGTTTATTATCTTCTTCTATAATCTTCAGTAGCTGTCAGTTAAAAGTTAATTAAGAAGAAAATAAGTCTATAATAATATAGCAGAGTAAGCTTTTATAAAAGATATTATAAATCTCTGATAATATGTTAAAATAGTAACTATAACTATCTAGATTATTATTATTATTATTATTCTTTTATTATACTTATATACAAGCAGAGCTTATAATGAGTTCTTGCATAATGTTAAATACAGATCAAGTGTTAATTATACAGAAGGAAATACAGGTGTTAAGATCATATCAAGATAATAAGAACATAGAAAAATATAAAGAAGTGATAATTAAATACATGTAATAATAACTTCTCAGCTCAGAAACATAGAGTGATTCATTGAAGTGATTTATATATCTCTGTATTTATTAGAAATCTAAGATGCTTGAGTTCTGAATTTAATGTATTCCTGCGGGTTTAAACTCATGCATCTTGGTTTCCCACGCCCAAGGTGCTACCAGGTGACTGCATTAATCATTCAGTCACAGAGGCATAACTATCTAGAACTTCTATTACTTTATACTTAATATAGTAGTTATTCAGTGTATGAGATGAGTATATAATCTATGTATTCTTAAGATTTAATTATATCAGATCTTCTATCTTATATTATTCAGCAGAGTCTTGATAAACATTAATTTAATTCTCTTAATCTTATTTAATACTTGTTATGAAGACTTCTGCTCAGTCACAGATATCTCAGAGCTTTATTACTATATTATCAGTAATCTGAATTAAACTATAAGAATTTAATATAAACTGTGTAGTCTCTAGAAGATTCAACACTTTTATATAGTAACTATGTATAAGAAAGAACAGACTTATATCTGTTAAAATAGTATCTCAGTTATTAATAATAATCTCTATATATAGAAGAAGATTATATTAATTATCTTATAAGTAATTATAAAACTTATAAAGATAATTCTTTACAGTTTAAATTATTCATTCTGATATATTATCAGTCTCAGAGTGATAAGCAGTTAATAAATAATATATAATTTTGAGAACTTAATAGATTCTTATTCAGAGAGTGTTTATGAATTAACTGCTCTAATTAGATACTATAGATCTTAGTAAGTTATACATCTAATAGAATAAACTCTGTAGAAAAGCTTCAGTAACTTATTCAGTATTTATCTTATTATAAGATTTCAATATTACATCTTTACTTAATTAGTTAATAATAATCAGTAGACTGGCCGGCAGAACCATGAATTTCACATTTGATTTCATTTGGTCTGGTTTCATACATTTCTTGGCATGAGTTCCACCAGAACCAAGCCTCAAAAAAATCTGAAAATGGACCATTTCTGAGAGAAATGATGTGAAAAATGACCAGATTTAATTCAAGAACAGTGAAATGAGAGTAATTTCTCAGAATAAACTATGAAAGATGATCATTCTTTCAAAATCAGAATGAGACTGAGACTGAAGATCAAAATCAGTCTCATTTAATTTATTCAGTGATTGCTTATATAATCAGAATTTGATAATAATTATTGATAACACTCATGAAATAACTAAATACATTCTTGTGTAAGTTTATTCTTCACTTTCTCATGAAAACTACACTTCTCTGATATACTGTGATCAGAGGTATTAAACTGTCTGATAATTCCATGTTTTATAATCATGAGTTTCTTGATTATTTCTTCTTGTAATTGTTCTCAGTAATAGTGATAAATATCTTGACTTGAGTTGAACTTTCACTTCATTCTCATCTCTGTCAATGAAATTGTCAGAATATCATGCATTATGAGTGTAACAGATGAATATATACTCTCAATAATTTTTCATAACTCTAGAATTGATTTGATGCATAAATTCATCAGATCATCTTGAAGATAGCAGTCAAATTCAGTTTTACAAGCCTGTAGTTTTGTCTGATTTTCAGTTGTAATCAATGTATATAAGTTCTGTTTCAATGTTAGTATTATAGTTCTATGTGATATAGAGTATTATCAAAGATTGTTACTTACTAGAGAATTGTATTTCACTGTCTTCACATCTTGAACATCTGCTCATTCAAATCTCTGATAGTTGATATTGTAGTAGTCTCAGGCTAATTTAATATATAAGTCTTATTTCTTCTCTATTCAATCTTGAGAAGTGTAGATATTAACTCAACAGAAGAGATCTAGTAGAGCTGCTACAGTATAGTACTCTGTAAAAGATTGTTCAGTTTTACTATAGTAATATGCTAGTTTATTCCTTACAGTAATAATAGCCTGCACTATAGCATCATTTCAGACTGAATTTCTTTTTAAGTGATTCAACTGCTTCTCAAGATGAGTAAATAAACTGTTATACACTCATCAGACTGACTACAGTATTGATGTACAAGTGATTGAGACTGTCTTCATTGTCTTATAAAACTGAAACAGTAAATTAATCATATATTTCAACTGAGTTTACTTCATATCAGAAAGTTTCAATATCTGAATCTTTTTCTGATCAGAGTGTTGCACTCAATGATCAATCATCTGACATAATTGAAGAGTCTGAATAGTTATCTTATATATTAAACTTCACTGTGTTCTAACATTCTGTATCATATTCAGTGATGTGACTGATTTATTTGTTTATTAAATATTATGAAATCATTGTTATTATTTAGAGAAGATACAAATTGCATTAGCAATGTTTTAAATCTGTGATATTTAAATTATTAGTCAATCTATTCAAAATTAACAGTAGTGTTATCAAAAAGTATTATCAAAAAGTAATATTAAAAAGTGTTATCAAAAAACATTATCTTTTGTAAAGTGAATGTAAAAGTTACTTAAGTAATTACTTTCATCTCATTCTCATTTCAAGACTCAGTCATCTCATTATTCTTCATCTTGATATTAAGATTCTTTATCAGTGTTTGCATCACAAGTTGAATCACATGAGCAATGCAGAGAATATAATCTTGTTTATTATTTCAGAAATACAAAGTCAATTTTTACTTCAAGCTCTTCATCATAGTGTAGTTATTTACAGCATTGTCAGTTGTAATTATAAAAAGACTGAGACTAATATCTTAATAGTCATTTTTAATCACAGTCATTAATATCTCTGTCATATAATCCTCAGTATGACTACTGATCAATGATTCAAATTCAATTAATGTCTCTTAATAAGTTCAGTTCTCATCAATGTAATAACATATAACTCTTATAAATATAAGATTATTTGTACTAGTTCATATATTCACTGTGAGAGACACTCTTCAATGATTCTTCAACTCTGATTCTAGATGTTGTATATTGACTTTGTAGTGTATCTCAAGGTTGAACTGAAGACAGAATTGATGTGAAATATAAAGATTTGAATTAAGTATTTAAAGAAGTGTTTGAAATTCAGAGTTTTCAATTGATCAAAGAGAAAGATTCAGAGATATACACATATAAAGTAATTATTCACAGAAGTTATTAGATAAGAGTTATGAAATCAGAGTACTGATATATGATTGTTTTCACATGATTTTCTTCAAATTAGAAAGTTAGTGTTATTAAAAATCATTATCTGATAGAGTAACTTATCAGCTCAGTAGTAATTTTCTGATTATTTTTCTTTTATTATCTGCATTCTGATGACTTCAGATGTCAGAAAATTCCTTCAGAGTTATAATCAGTTTATGATGAATATTTCTGAATGAAGTTGCAGTGATTATAGCAGAGAGATGACTCTTCAGTAATCTACAATGTAATCTATTAATAATTATTTCATAGTTCATCTCAGTGTTTGTGTTGAGTTTTTCATAAATTTCATGACCTGGAATCAGATGTGAAGAATGAAGTGATTATTTATTATAATTGAAAGAGAGTATTCTATATTGAATTATAAATAACATAGACTTTGTAATTCACAGTGATTTCTTAAAGAGTTTGTGAATCTTCAATAGAAGTAAAAGAAGTGAAAGAAGTGAATTCAGAAGATATAATAATAATTTAAGAAAGATAATAATTTATTTTTAATAACTGATCACTGATATGTGTAAGAAGAATTAATATAAGAGAAAATAATCTTATTTCAAAAGTTAGTTATAATTTAGTACTAACTCAGATTAAATATC